ATTTTCCGAGGTACCAATTTCACATGAATTTCGACCAAAAATCATGTTCCCAGATTTAGATGCCAAATTGATATACGGGCCAAATCATAAAGAAAAAACCAAACCTCGTGAAAATCTGATAAGATTTGACCGAGTTATGGGATTGGGAAAATTCGACCTATGTCTATACAGGATTTTCCGAGGTACCATTTTCACATGAATTTCGACCAAAAATCATGTTCCCAGATTTATATGCCAAATTGATCTACGGGCCAAATTGTGAAGAAAACCCCAAACCTTGTGAAAATCTGATAAGATTTGACCGAGTTATGGGATTGGGAAAATTCGACCTATGTATATACAGGATTTTCCGAGGTACCATTTTCACATGAATTGAAAAAACCAAACCTCGTGAAAATCTGATAAGATTTGACCGAGTTATGGGATTGGGAAAATTCGACTTATGTCTATACAGGATTTTCCGAGGTACCATTTTCACATGAATTTCGACCAAAAATCATGTTCCCAGATTTAGATGCCAAATTGATCTACGGGCCAAATCATGAAGAAAAAAACAAACCTCGTGAAAATCTGATTAGATTTGACCGAGTTATGGGATTGGGAAATATATACGGGATTTTCCGAGGTACCATTTTCACTTGAATTTCAACCAAAAATCATGTTCCCAGACTTAGATGCCAAATTGATCTACGGGCCAAATCATGAAGAAAAAACCAAACCTCGTGAAAATCTGATAAGATATGACCGAGTTATGGGATTGGGAAATTTCGACCTATGTCTATACAGGATTTTCCGAGGTACCATTTTCACATGAATTTCGACCATAAATCATGTTCCCAGATTTATATGTCAAATTGAGATTGGGAAAATTCGACCTATGTCTATACAGGATATTTCAAGGCACCATTTTCACATGAATTTCGACCAAAATTCATGTTCCCAGATTTAAATGCAAAATTGATCTACGGGCCAAATCATGAAGAAAAAACAAACCTCTTGAAAATCTGATAAGATTTGACCGAGTTATGGGATTGGGAAAATTCGACCTATGTCTCTACAGGATTTTCCGAGGTACCATTTTCACATGAATTTCGACCAAAAATCAGGTTCCCAGATTTAGATGCCAAATTGATATACAGGCCAAATCATGAAGAAAAAACCAAACCCCGTGAAAATCTGATAAGATTTGACCGAGTTATGGGATTGGGAAAATTCGACCTATGTCTATACAGGATTTTCCGAGGTACCATTTTCACATGAATTTCGACCAAAAATCATGTTCCCAGATTTAGATGCCAAATTGATCTACGGGCCAAATCATGAAGAAAAACCCAAACCTCGTGAAAATCTGATAAGATTTGACCGAGTTATGGGATTGGGAAAATTCGACCTATGTCTATACAGGATATTTCAAGGCACCATTTTCACATGAATTTCGACCAAAAATCATGTGCCCAGATTTAGATGCCAAATTGATCTACGGGCCAAATCATGAAGAAAAACCCAAACCTCGTGAAAATCTAATAAGATTTGACCGAGTTATGGGATTGGGAAAATTCGACCTATGTCTATACAGGATATTTCAAGGCACCATTTTCACATGAATTTCGACCAAAAATCATGTTCCCAGATTTAAATGCAAAATTGATCTACGGGCCAAATCATGAAGAAAAAAACAAACCTCTTGAAAATCTGATAAGATTTGACCGAGTTATGGGATTGGGAAAATTCGACCTATGTCTCTACAGGATTTTCCGAGGTACCATTTTCACATGAATTTCGACCAAAAATCATGTTCCCAGACTTAGATGCCAAATTGATCTACGGGCCAAATCATGAAGAAAAAAACCAACCTCGTGAAAATCTGATAAGATTTGACCGAGTTATGGGATTGGGAAAATTCGACCTCTGTCTATACAGGATTTTCCGAGGTACCATTTTCACATGAATTTCGACCAAAAATCATGTTCCCAGACTTAGATGCCAAATTGATCTACGGGCCAAATCATGAAGAAAAAAACCAACCTCGTGAAAATCTGATAAGATTTGACCGAGTTATGGGATTGGGAAAATTCGACCTATGTCTATACAGGATTTTCCGAGGTACCATTTTCACATGAATTTCGACCAAAAATCATGTTCCCAGACTTAGATGCCAAATTGATCTACGGGCCAAATCATGAAGAAAAAAACAAACCTCGTGAAAATCTGATAAGATTTGACCGAGTTATGGGATTGGGAAATGTCGACCTATGTTTATACAGGATTTTCCGAGGTACCATTTTCACATGAATTTCGACCAAAAATCATGTTCCCAGACTTAGATGCCAAATTGATCTACGGGCCAAATCATGAAGAAAAAAACAAACCTCGTGAAAATCTGATAAGATTTGACCGAGTTATGGGATTGGGAAAATTCGACCTATGTCTATACAAGATTTTCCGAGGCACCATTTTCACATGAATTTCGACCAAAAATCATGTTCCCAGATTTAGATGCCAAATTGATCTACGGGCCAAATCATGAAGAAAAAAACAAACCTCGTGAAAATCTGATAAGATTTGACCGAGTTATGGGATTGGGAAATGTCGACCTATGTTTATACAGGATTTTCCGAGGTACCATTTTCACATGAATTTCGACCAAAAATCATGTTCCCAGACTTAGATGCCAAATTGATCTACGGGCCAAATCATGAAGAAAAAAACAAACCTCGTGAAAATCTGATAAGATTTGACCGAGTTATGGGATTGGGAAATTTCGACCTATGTCTATACAGGATTTTCCGAGGTACCATTTTCACATGAATTTCGACCAAAAATCATGTTCCCAGACCTAGATGCCAAATTGATCTACGGGCCAAATCATGAAGAAAAAAATAAACCTCGTGAAAATCTGATAAGATTTGACCGAGTTATGGGATTGGGAAATTTCGACCTATGTCTATACAGGATTTTCCGAGGTACCATTTTCACATGAATTTCGACCAAAAATCATGTTCCCAGACCTAGATGCCAAATTGATCTACGGGCCAAATCATGAAGAAAAAAACAAACCTCGTGAAAATCTGATAAGATTTGACCGAGTTATGGGATTGGGAAATTTCGACCTATGTCTATACAGGATTTTCCGAGGTACCATTTTCACATGAATTTCGACCAAAAATCATGTTCCCAGACCTAGATGCCAAATTGATCTACGGGCCAAATCATGAAGAAAAAAACAAACCTCGTGAAAATCTGATAAGATTTGACCGAGTTATGGGATTGGGAAATTTCGACCTATGTCTATACAGGATTTTCCGAGGTACCATTTTCACATGAATTTCGACCAAAAATCATGTTCCCAGACTTAGATGCCAAATTGATCTACGGGCCAAATCATGAAGAAAAAAACCAACCTCGTGAAAATCTGATAAGATTTGACCGAGTTATGGGATTGGGAAAATTCGACCTATGTCTATACAGGATTTTCCGAGGTACCATTTTCACATGAATTTCGACCAAAAATCATGTTCCCAGACTTAGATGCCAAATTGATCTACGGGCCAAATCATGAAGAAAAAAACAAACCTCGTGAAAATCTGATAAGATTTGACCGAGTTATGGGATTGGGAAATGTCGACCTATGTTTATACAGGATTTTCCGAGGTACCATTTTCACATGAATTTCGACCAAAAATCATGTTCCCAGACTTAGATGCCAAATTGATCTACGGGCCAAATCATGAAGAAAAAAACAAACCTCGTGAAAATCTGATAAGATTTGACCGAGTTATGGGATTGGGAAAATTCGACCTATGTCTATACAAGATTTTCCGAGGCACCATTTTCACATGAATTTCGACCAAAAATCATGTTCCCAGATTTAGATGCCAAATTGATCTACGGGCCAAATCATGAAGAAAAAAACAAACCTCGTGAAAATCTGATAAGATTTGACCGAGTTATGGGATTGGGAAATGTCGACCTATGTTTATACAGGATTTTCCGAGGTACCATTTTCACATGAATTTCGACCAAAAATCATGTTCCCAGACTTAGATGCCAAATTGATCTACGGGCCAAATCATGAAGAAAAAAACAAACCTCGTGAAAATCTGATAAGATTTGACCGAGTTATGGGATTGGGAAATTTCGACCTATGTCTATACAGGATTTTCCGAGGTACCATTTTCACATGAATTTCGACCAAAAATCATGTTCCCAGACCTAGATGCCAAATTGATCTACGGGCCAAATCATGAAGAAAAAAACAAACCTCGTGAAAATCTGATAAGATTTGACCGAGTTATGGGATTGGGAAATTTCGACCTATGTCTATACAGGATTTTCCGAGCTACCATTTTCACATGAATTTCGACCAAGAATCATGTTCCCAGATTTAGATGCCAAATTGATCTACGGGCCAAATCATGAAGAAACCCCCAAACCTCGTGAAAATCTGATAAGATTTGACCGAGTTATGGGATTGGGAAAATTCGACCTATGTCTATACAGGATTTTCCGAGGTACCATTTTCACATGAATTTCGACCAAAAATCATGTTCCCAGACTTAGATGCCAAATTGATCTACGGGCCAAATCATGAAGAAAAAAACAAACCTCGTGAAAATCTGATAAGATTTGACCGAGTTATGGGATTGGGAAATTCGACCTATGTCTATATAAGATAATTGAGGGTATATAACCCGGCCTTTCCCGTGTCACGTAGTGTTCAAGGATTTCATTGTATGTTCTATTTAAAACATATTCCTAATGCCTCTTCTTCTACTTCTGGTATAACCCTTGCACTTACACTTAACTCCAACAATATTTGGAATTATAATAAATAAATTAAATTTCTACATAAAATTAACTATTTAAAAGTTTGGCTAACAATAAAAGTTTCTAAGTCGAACTCCAACTTGATTATATGAGGAACTGCGTATGATTCTCATCCTCTTAAGTGGGTTTTATATTTTTATTCTAGTTAAATCGGAACTTATTTTGTCACTTACCGGAATCTTTGAAGTGCGTAGAAATTCGAGGAGAGCTTCCAAGGAGCCCAATGTTGAAGCCTGGACGTAGACGCCGCTCGGAGCCAATTTGATGTGGCTAAGCGCGCTCTTCAGTTCGCGAGCCACTTCCTCTCTGAAATTGACAATTGACATGGGATTAGGATAAAGAAGGAATATATGTGGAGTGCAGAGACTAACTTGCATATCTCGACCTCGTCGGGTTTGTGCGCAATGAGCAGATTGATGCCTGCAATGGCCTTCTCCAGATCCTTGGCGGCGATCTTGACGCCCTGCGCGGCCTTCACCTCCTTGTACTCGACATATGCGTTCTTGACGCGCAGCTCCTTCATGGGCTGCGGCATCAGGAGCGAACGAATCTGCGTGGTTATGGGCCCGTCTGTGCCGGCCAAGATCATGGTCTGCCCCTCGCGCAGCCGGCCATTGATGAGTATGGCATCGATGGTGGTGCCCAGGCCGGGTATGGCTTTCACCTCCAGCACGGTGGCCTGCAGCTCCTCGGAGTACATGAGCCGCTTGGTCAGCATATTTTGGCAAAAGTCCGTAATCATGAACAACAGGTTGCCCATGCCCTCGCCCGTGATGGCGCTGGTGGGCACCAGCGAGATGTAGGTCTTGGGATCTGTATTCTCGTAGAAGAGCGCTGCGTTCAGACCCTGCTCGGCAAACTGTAGAATCACCTCCTTAGTGCGCTGCTGGAATTCCAGCTGTGTGTTCGTCTGCTGTTCCTTGATCACGTCGCGCACGTCGCGGCGGGGAAGCACCTGCCAGTCGTAAAGGCGATCGATCTTGTTGAGGGCCACGATAAAGGGGCATTTCTTCTTCTTGAGCAGCTGTATGGACTCCAGGGTCTGCGGCTCCAGGCCGTGCATAATGTCCACAACCAGAATGGCAATATCACAGAGAGACGAGCCGCGATTGCGCAGATTACTGAACGATTCGTGGCCGGGCGTATCGATGATGAGCAGTCCGGGCAGGCGATGCTCAAAGCTGGCGACGTTTTTGACATATTTCGTTTGCTCCTTGATGGCATCAATGGGCACGTTGGTGGCGCCAATCTGTTGCGTGATGCCGCCCGCCTCCGAGTCCTGCACATGGGTGCGTCGCAACTTGTCCAAGATTTTTGTTTTGCCCGTGTCCACATGGCCGAGCACACAAACGACGCCGGCGCGCAGTTCTTCCGTGGTGCGTTTCTTCTCCGCCTCCGACTGGCGTTTAATGATGCGCGCCTCGGCACGTAGGCGACGCGATTCGGGATCATTGGCCAATGTTGCGTCCTCCTTTGCGGACTCTTCGCTCTCCTCCTCGGACTCATCGCTGTCGTCGTCGGTATCGCCATCGTCGTCATCGGATTCAGCTTCATCATGGGCATCAGTTTTGCCATTGTTGGTGGTTGTAGTGGTTGCTTGAGAGGATTCCTCCTCGGCTTCAGCTTCGCTGTCAGTCGCATCCCAACTTTCCTTAACCGCCTCTTCCTTGGCCTTTTGCTCGGCTGCTGCAGCAGCTGCGGCTGCTTCGGCCGCTTTTTGTGCCTCATCCTTGGCCTCCTCCTCGGTGGCCTCACCCTTGGGCCCCTTCTTCTTGTTGGGACGTATGCGCGTGCCTGTCAAGCATTTAATATCAATTAATACCAGCTCCATAAAGCTACGTATAGCAACTCACCTGGCCTGGGCGCACGCCTGTCGTTGTGATCGGGTATTTCAAGGCCCTGCGCCTTCAGTGAATCCAACAGCGCCTGGGCACGAGCACGGTCCTCCTTCTGCTTCTTGGTTAGCAGTTTACCTTCGGCCTTGAGGCGCGCCTTGCGTTCGGCCTCCTTTTGTTTCTTCTTCTCTTTGCGTTCGGCTTCTAGGCGCACCGCCTCCAGACGCGCCTCTTCGCGCTCATCCTCCAGCCGTATGCGTTCCTCTTCGAGCTTTTGCTGACGTTCCTCTTCCTCTTTGCGCTTCTTCAGCTGCTCCTGCATGGCGGCCACCATCGCTGCGGACATGCCCTTCTTTTTGCTGTCCTTTTTCTCCTTCTCCTCATCGGCCTCAGCTTTCTTATCCTTCTTGCCCTTTTTCTTATTCTTGCCCGCCTTGCCGCCATCATCGGCTTCTTCTGCATCGGCGGCTTCTGGCTTTGTTTCATTCTCGGGCGCTGCTACGGATTCTGGCTCTGGTTCCGGCGCCGGGGCTGGAGCTGGCGCAGGCTTCTGCTTAGGCTCGAGCGCTGCGCGCTGCTTGGCCAGCGCAGCCTCTCGCTTCTGTCGCTCCTTTTTTTCCTTTTTCTTCTGAGCTGCCGTTTTCAATCCGCCAACATCCTCATCTTCATTGTCATTCTCATCAAGGTCTTCGGCGCCGGCTTCTTCGGCAGTCGCTGAAACTGCCTTTTTGCCCTTCTTTGGCTTCTTGGCAAGCTCGTCGGCCACCTGCTCGGCTCCAATGGTGGCTGCTGGCGCCTCGCCAGCATATTCCGCCTGCAGTTCTGCTAGCATTTTATCCAAATCTTCGTCGTCATCTTCCTTACCCTTACGCTTGGCCTTTTTGCCCTTCTTCTCGTTCTTTTTCTGTGGCTTTACAACCACTGCCTCCTCCTCCTCGGATGAGATTTGTGCTTCCGGCGCATCATTCTCCTCATCGTCATCGTCGTCCAGCAGCAAATTGAAAGCGGACTTCTTGGCAGGCTTTTGGCTCGGCTCCTCATCGGAGTCATCGTCCACATTCTTGGCCTTGCCCTTGCCCTTGCCCTTCACATTCAGCTTTTTAACGGCCTTTGTTATGGTCTCGATTGGCGCATTCTCGTCGCTGCCATCATCTGAAGCATTGGCATTTTTATTGTTCTTCTTTTTGCCCTTCTGCTGATTCTTCTTGTTGTTGGTGCTGACCTGATCGTTGTCCGAGTCTATGACAGTATTGGTTTCCCTACATCGCAGAGTAAATCTTGTTTAGCAGAAAGTTGCCAACATGCCATCGTGGCAAACAACAAAGAGAGTACTCACATTTCGTCCGCCGATGAGCCGCCCTCAGCGGTGGTCAGTATCTCTTTCTTGCCCTTTTTAGCTTTAACCATCTTTCCTGGCGCAGTCTCAACACGCTTCTTCTCGGAACACCCACGAAACGCCGAAATGAATTCACTGCTGAAAATGTACACGCGACGGACAGGCAACGACGGGTCTCGGTTCCTGGTTTTACAGCTGTGGCTGCTGGGCTCGTTGCTGCTGCTGCTGCTGTCTGATCTACTCTTGCTGGCGGCACGTTGGCTCCTATGTTAAGCGTCAAATTCACAACTTACTTGTTTAAAGCTATTTGGCGTTTCAAGTTGCCAAAAAATTTGTAAATTTTCTTTGCACGCCGATTCGGTTAGCGAATACGATGCACCTGTGCTAGGGATGTGCCAAACAACGATTTCACTATCGATAGTTCGTATACTCTGATTTCGATATTCTCTTGTACCAAATTTTTCAATTTAAGCTATTGTCTCATCGCTTTTGCACACTTGATTCAACAAATAATTTAACTATCACTAAATTACTTACAAAGTTAATGCAGGGAATACCTTGTAAACAGATTGGGCTAATCGATAGCTTGTAACAATATTTTCCAATTATCGATGGGCCACACTGTTGCTATTGCGACAACCGTCTGTTGAAGTGCTCATATGGTACTGCCAAACGCTTGTTTAGTAAACTTAACAGCTGTTAGCATTTAGGTTTATACGATATTTAGCGTTTTGTTTGTAAATTTTCCTCCTATATTTACTTAATTTAGCACACTCTTGTATTATACAGTTCACTATTTTGTTTTCAAAACACACCTAGCGGCCAAAAATTATTTGATTGCTGTTAATAACTTTACAGTAAAGTGTTAAATTACAACGTCAAAAACAGCTGTTTCACAAGCCAAGCTAAGTTTAAGGTTATGTGTGCGGCGTTCATTCAGTCTCAAACCAAACTTCAAAGTTGTGCGGACGCCGAATTCGATTTTCATTTGACAAACGCAAAAGAAAACCATAAAATTTACGCATATCTTAGCTTAAATTTAGGTAACTTCATTTGATATTATGTTTGCTTGCCATGTTCAACAATAATAAGTCAATTATTAATGGCAATAGGCAAATTCCAATAACGCGCCTTCGCTAAACGCAGCGTCAGCTTTTATTTGGCGGCCTCGTAGGACCATGTCGATTATGTCCGGCGAAGCAACAGGCATCAACGACAGCAACAATACACCCAGCATTTCAGAGAGCAGCGGCAACAGTGCTGAGGTCTGTTGAAATTCGATGCCCGCGCCCCTAACTGTGTATACTTATAAGTATTTCATATATGCCCCCCCCCCTCCCTTTCTCTCTCTCTCTCTCTCAATCGCTTCCACCTCAGATAAAGAAACTCGATAGCCAGTCGACGAGCAAAGTAATATCACTGATAACCAGCGAAAGCGGCTTCAAAGAGGAAACCAACGACAGCCACTTGAGCCGGCTGCAGCAGCTGCGCAGCGAGCTGAACTACATCAGCGAGACGGACTGGATGTACGACAGTCTCGAGAAGAAGCCGCAGCAATAGGCACAAGATGCTGTCGTTCTGGAGCAAAATCTTCCAGAGCAACGAGCAGAAGCGCGAACACAAACGCGATCTGCTGCAAATCGAGCACCGCTTCCTGGACGAAGAGCCCAACAATGATAACAAAGAAAACGACAATGGCAACCGTTCTCCAAATGGTCTGCAAAATCTAGACTCCGGCTGGGGCAACGAGAACGAGAGTGACAAACTAATCGGCACTACCTGCTCCGCGCGCAAGGGTGTTATCACATTTGTAACTGATCAGAATGGCATTATTGATAAGTCCATAGCCTTTCAGAGACAGGCCGCAGGGCAACTGTTCACGGAGCTAACCGTTGGCTCCGTGATCGAGTATCTTACTTATGAGCAGGAGAATGGCGTCAGGAAGGTCATCAAGATACAAAAAATCGTGGATCAGTCGTGGGAGGAAGCAACAGACAACAAGGTAATCCCCAGACCAGCCAATATCTCAGCCAATGCCAATGATAATTCTTTAACAGGTGGCGGAGGTGCTCGAATCCCTGAAGCTCGACCAGCCCGTCTATTTTAAAACGCAGCTACGCAACATTCTGGGCAACATTACGCAGCGTCTGCCCTCGGCCATCGTGGTGGACACGGACTATGGCGAGCTGAATGTGGACCTGGACAACATCGAGTCGAACTTTATACCCAAAATGGGTGACGAGATCACGCTCATCTGCAATGTTCAGTTGGATGACGGCTATGTGGACAAACAGGGCGAAATACTCGGCGTGAAGAAGATCTTTCCGACGCGCATCGAACCGGATCAGAAGTGTACCGTCGAGCGTGTCTTCGAGGAGTTTGCCGTCCTCACCAATGCCTATGTGCTCAAGGAAGATGTGCCCAAAGGCATTCAATTGCATCTGGGTGACATTGTTAAGGTCGATCTCATCGAATGCAAACATGTAAGGAATCCAAGCATTATATAGATATTTATATATGCCCATGCGGGCATATATATATATAAAAATATTCTTGCCTGCCCACAGTCGAAATTCTCGCGTCGCGCCATCAAGTTGTCTTTGCTGGAGAAGAACTTTGGCCAAGTGAAGAATAATCCATTGAATACGTCGTCGGGCAGCAAGCAGGCCGTTTCCATAGAGGGCAAAGATCGGTTTGTGTTCACCGAGCACGGGAAGAAGCACCGCGTCACCCTCAAGGTGAGAAATGTGGGCAAGCGTACATTTGAGCTGGTCCACATTGATATACCGAATGCCTCGGATGCACAGATCAGTGTGTTGGAGCCGGTCAGCTCGAGGAGCATCGAGATGGGCGGCCATATATCGTTGGTCTTTGAGGTGCACACCCGGTTAATTGGCGAATCGAAGGAGTACTTCACGCTCAAGTTCGACACGTTCAGGGTGACACGCTATTTCACCGTCGTTGTGTGTGTTACGCAGGAAGATGCACTGGAGGCGAATCGCCGTCTGATTGCATCCGAGCAGCTGATGGTCAGTGGACGCACTGCGCGCCAGCGCTCCCGCTTCTATGCCTATCAGGTCTATTCGAATAAGAGCCTATTGGTGCCGGGTGAATCGATTGCCACCAAACGTCGCTTTGTGCCCGTGCATTTGTCCAACTACGAGGTGCCCGAAAAGCTATGCAATATTGTGCTCAAAACTGAGAGCATATCCGATGTACGCGAGCTGCTGGGCGTCCAGTATCCATTCGTCAATGAGAGCTTCACCTTTAGCAACTATGTGCAGCGCTTTGCGACCTTGCTGCATCTGGAGGAGATTGACTACAATATTAACTTTCGCAATTATGATCGGGAGCGTGCGCATTTTAATCGCGAAGGCGAATACCTCTCGCTGCAAATTGAGAATCTCGCCGAGCGTCGTCCCTCGCTGGTGCTGGGCGATACTGTGAATGCCATCAATCCCTGGGCGGAGCCGGACAGCAAGGAGAACAAACTGTTCCAGGGCGTCGTCCACAAGGTGTTCTTCAATCGTGTCCATCTCAAGTTCAATGCAAACTTTCAGCAGAAATACAATGGTGAGGATTACCGCCTGGAGTTCCACTTCTCGAGGTACGCCTTCCGCAAGCAGCATCACGCCACTTCGCGCATTGGCGACCATATGGGCGAGAATTTCCTGTTTCCTAGTAAGGTTGCGAAGCGCGATCATGTTCAGCTGGAGGTCGAGTTCAAGGATGACAACATGTATCTGTATGACGACAAGCTGACCTGGTTCAACGAGGGCTTGAACTGCATCCAAAAGCGTGCCGTTTACAATGTACTTCGCGGCGAAACGGAGAAAATGCCTTATGTGATCTTTGGGCCGCCGGGCACCGGCAAAACTGTGACTCTGGTGGAGACCATCCTGCAGTTGGTGCGCCATGTGCCGGGCTCTCGCCTCCTTGTGGGCACGCCCTCAAACAGCTCTGCAGATCTAATTACCAAGCGCATCATTGCGAGCAATGCGCTCAACCATGGCGAATTTATACGTCTTGTTTCGCAGAACCAGGTAGAGAAGGATCTCGTGCCGCCGGAGCTGGCCAGTTACTGTGCCACCGTCGACATTGGCACCGTCGATTCCGACCATGACAGCGTGAGTAGTCAATAAATCCCAATCCCCATCATAAATGAAATTAACATTCTTTGGTTGTAGATGATTATCACCGAATCGGGTCTTAAGCTGCGCTGCCAGGCCAAGTATCTGGGCAAGCATCTGATCACCATCAGCACCTGCACCACGCTGGGTAACTTTATTCAAATGGACTTTCTACCTGAACACTTTACTCATGTGCTCATCGACGAGGCCGGCCAATGCACCGAACCGGAGACGATGGTGCCCATTGTGCTGTTGGCGCGGAAACGCAGCCAAGTGGTGCTCGCCGGCGATCCTCATCAGCTGCAGGCAATTGTTACCAGTCGCTATGCGAGCCAGCTGGGTCTGGGCATGTCCTATCTGGAGCGCTTGCTGGAGACTTCACCGTATCGCCGGGACATGCAGCGCTATCCCAACAGCTCTGGATATAATCCCAGCGTGCTGACTAAACTGTTGTACAATTATCGGGCGCTGCCCTCGATCATGAACGTCTACAGTAAACTCTTTTATGATAACGAGCTCATCTCCATGGTCTCGGATAAGGACTCGCGGGAGGTGCGTTTTCTGGCCGAGCTGCAGGCGATTTTTGAAGATCACCAGGGAAGGCCGCGCACTCACGGCACCTTCTTTCACGGCATCATGGGTGAAAATATGCAAGATTTCGATTCGCCGTCCTGGTACAATATCGACGAGGCTCGCGAGGTATTTCTGTTGACCATACTGCTGTATCGCCGCAACGTGCATCACGAGCAAATTGGCATACTGACGCCCTATGCGAAGCAGGTGAAGACGCTGCGGACCATGTTTATCGCTGCGGACTTGACCATGCCCAAGATTGGCTCCGTCGAGGAGTTTCAGGGTCAGGTAAGGACTTGCCTTCATTTGAGTGTTCCAACTAAATTGAAAAATTATTGACGCTTCCTCTTTTGGTCTTAGGAACGTGACATCATGCTGATCTCAACGGTTCGCTCCACGGAATCCAATCTGCGCGCCGACGCTCGTCTCAATTTGGGTTTTGTGCGCTGCAACAAGCGCATGAATGTGGCCATCTCTCGTGCCCGCTGCCTGATGGTCATCTTTGGCAATCCCAAGCTGCTCGCCGTCGACGATTGCTGGCGTCATTTGATCCTCTTCTGTGCCAACAACAATGCGTACTTTGGCTGCGAGATGCCCGCATCGATCACAGCCCAGGGCGATGAGTCCGACGGCAACGAATCGGACGTGTCCGACTTGGTGCCTTAAGGCCGCCGGCCGCATACTTGCTTAACCGAAGT